TCGCCAAAAAATGGCGTGCCGTAGCGCGAAAACCGTTTGTCCAACGGAGCTGAAATTTGAAATTTCAGCTTTTTCAGCCTAAATTACCCCATAAACCAAATTTCAGCCAATTTGAAGGAGGTCAGGTGTAAATTTCCACTTTTTTTGGGTGATTTGACACGGAATGACCCGTTCATGAACAAGCTAGTTTTCGAAATGTCTGTGCCTCAGAACGCGTCTGCAAGCATCTCATTTAAAAAAAATGTCGAATATAGCTCTTTGCACTATTCTACCAGTAAGTAGAAATATATCGCGCGGATTTCGTCCGAGGCCATTCTCATCTCTGGTACAGGGCTATACGTAACAGGTTAGAAGTTGATACATAGCAGGGTAAGGCTTTACATATATAAATAAGGAAAAGGTGTTCACGTATCAGGGTAGAGCTCGACGTTTGCCAACTCACAGGCGATGTAAAATCCTTGAACATCTGATAGAAAGGTTGAATGAACGTTGAAAATTGTCGACTTCAATCGTCGACTTTTCGATAGTGTAATCCAAGCTTGAGTATCTATTCGGACTGATGTTGAAATTGCTGGTTTCTTTCCCTCAAAATCTCCGCTTTCAACTTGGGTATCGTATAGCACAGTGTGTGCTAGAGTGTAACGCCAGGGCCAGGGTAAGGTTACCACTACCCTTGCCAGTAGAATTCCCTGTCCCGTGTGTCCCGTCAGGGCCATAATAAAAATATTGTTTGTTTGCCCTCACCCGACCGACCCGCCAAAAAGGGGCCGACTCAAAAATTGTTATTGATCTTGCACATTCTTTTATTCTTTTTTTTTTACAAATTGTATCACTGTGCATTATATAAATCTGTAGGCAATACATTATATGTACCAAGCAAAACAAACATTCAACATAAAAGGTATCTCCACACAAGCACACCCGAGCATGTAGACATGCTGAATTTGTAAAAAGACCCCCACAAAGCCTACCTACCTACCCAAACTTCAGCCTGGGTCGGGTGAAGGCAAACAAATATTTTTTTAATTGTGGACCAGTCAGTGAGGTGTGCTTGCTGCTGTTGTAGGTGTATCGGTGCTGGATGGCAAGGTGTACTGCATCGGTGGCTGGAGCGGGCAGGATGGGATGAAGGCCTGCCACATGTACGATCCCGATACGAAAGAATGGACAAGGATTGCTCCTCTCAACGAACGTACGTGGCACCACTGCAGTTTCATCATCACTAGTGAATGAATGAATGTCAGATTAGATTAGATAGCTTCATTGTAGACGAGGGTGCTATCGTCAGAAACATTTTGTCACGGTGTTAATCTTATTGTAACTGTCTCCGTGTGGTTATAATGCTATCACTGCCATATATACACAATCGTATATCTACATGTGATATATCTGTACAATTTCATAGATATGTCCATGATAGCACTGATATTTATTGCA